CCGGCCGCCAGGGCCCCCGGGGCGCTGGGCACCGGCGATTCCAGGTGCTGCTCCGCGGGCGACAGCGAGGGCTGAGGACCTGCGGAAAGCCGAGGGGTGTGGTCAGCACCCATGGCCCTAGGCCCCGAGGTCTCCCCGAGAGGCCAGTTAGCCAGGGCCGCCTCCTCCCTTTCCCAGCCTCCCGATTTCTCTCTGCTCCCCGCCTCATTTCCAGCGACTCCGTTTTCCCCTTTCAGAGCCAGATATGTCTGTCATCTCCTACTTCCCAGGCACCGGAAAGCAAGAAAAGGTCCCGGGGCAGCCTCTCTGGGGTCACCCGTCTAGCCAGCTACCCCACCCCCACCCCCACCCCCCAAGTTAGTCTGCAGGGCCTTCCTCTTGTCGGACCTGAGCACCTCTATTCCAAAACGGGGCCAAATTTTGCCTGCTCCATTTAACAGATGGAGAAACTGAGGCCCACCCCAAGAAGTGACCCAAGGTCACGCGGGGATAAAGCCACTGACTACACCCAGAGTCACAAGCTTCAGGTCTCCTGCCCTCTCGTGTCCAACCACAGCGAAGCCACACCCTCGGATGTGGCAGGGCCCGGAGGCCAGAAGGCCAGACTGGCCGCCTCTGGGCACGGGCCTGGGGGGGATGGGATGCAGGGATGCCTTCCTGCCCCACCCCCTCCGAGCTCCTCTGACGTCTCTTCCTCCCTCCCGTCACCCCAGGTCCTGCCTGGCCTGGGAGATCCCTAAGGCCGAAAATCAGGGCCTCGGGTGTCCACACCTGGGACTCTGGTCTTGAAACCGGGGCCCTGGCCCCGGGCCCGGACAGTTTTCTCTCCGAGCCTGCCAGGGCTCCGGGGACTGGGTGGGGCCGCAGAGGGAAACCCGGGCAGTCTCCCTTGCCACCGAGTGTGCTGCTGGGACCGGCCTGCCGGCCACCACAGGGTTAACGGCCCATCAGGCAGGGGACCTTTAACCCTTCCCTCCCCAAGGCTCACCCCCCCCACACACACTTTCCCAACACAATGGCCCCTCCCCCCTCCCCCCCCGGACTGCGTAGAGAGCCGGCGCTGGCCAGAGAGAGGCTGGTAAAGGCAACAGGCCGCCCTCGACCCCTCCCCAAAGTCCTGAGGTGAAGGTCCTGCGGTCCTTCTGCTCTGCCCACACTCTCTCAGACTGCAATCTCGGGAGGGCTAAGGGGACCCAGACTAGGAGAGAGGGGCTGAGAAACAGCTGTCGCCCCAGGCCCGGAAAAGGGCTGCAACTCGAGGACTGCAGTCAGATTCCAGGAGGGACTTCCCACTCGGCCTCTCCCCACCCCCAGCCTCCCACTCCGTCTTCCTGCTTCTTGCAACACAAAGACCACAGTGGCCACACCCTCCCCGTGGCCCGGCCGGCTCGCCACCTCCCCCCACCCGCTCCCACTTCGCCAGTTCCCCAGTGTCTCTCTCTCTCCCCGCTCCCATCATCCCTGATATGGGGCGGGCACTCACCGTCGGGGCGCGGGCCTCGGGGCCTGCTGCGGGGACCCGCAGGCCAGCGGGGGCCCCCCAGGGCAGCGGTGGCGGTGGGCGGGGCAGTGGGGGCGCAGAGGAAGGCAGCGGGCAGCAGTGCAGGGGCGGCGGGGGCGGCAGGCAGGCCGGGCTCGCAGAGGCCGCAGGACACAGCCGAGGGCACCAGGCGGCTGAGCGGGAAGGGGCGCGGGCCGTCTCGGGCCAGGCCCTCTACGGGCTCCGGGGAGCTGCCCTCCTGGCGTGCTCGGGCCATGGCGCTCCCTGGGGTCTGCAGGACAGGAGAGGGGTGCCGTCAGCCAGCAAGTGCAGGGGTGCACCAGGGCCCCACAATACACACAGCCTACATGGTCCCCAGGACACCCGCCACTCCTGCACACAACTATGGCGGGCTCGGCGCCCAGGACAGCACACACAGGGCCCAAATGGAGGGGGCTGTGGATGCGTGTGGTGACCACACAAGACACACACCGTGTACCTAAGGGCTGACCCAGGTGTCGTGGGGGCAGCTTCTCGGGAGCATGCTGATGGGCACAAATGAGGGACAGGGAGGCACACGAGGGCTCCCTCTCACAGCAAATACAAGGGCTCACACAGGACCCAGATGCAGGGGGTTGTCAGGTGTGTGTGTGTGTGTGTGTGTGTGTGTGTGTGTGTGTGTGTGTGGGCTGACGGCCCCACAATACACACTCCCCCAATCAGGGGCTCACACGGGACGTGGGCTGGTGGGGGTAACTTCCGGAACACAGTGATGGCCACACATGGAGGGCAGCCAGGCACTGTGATGGCTCCCCCAGCACACACAGGGACTCACACAGGACCCAAAAGGAGACTTATGGGGGGGTTGAAGAATACACAACACACACACATAAGGACTCACGCAGGACTGGCCAGGCAACCTCCCACCTTATCTCCCATTTGCACAGAAACATTGAGATAGTCCTAGTATCGGACACTGCTACTCAGTACATGGGACACACACACACTGACCAAAACGTGGACACACACATGCACACAGATCATCAGGAGCGCTATACACACTATGTATATTGTCTGACACAATCCTTCCCCACCATCCACACGCACATATACACACTGACCTACTGTTGATACGCCCACGGACACAAACATCATGCAGCCAACACAAGCACAGACACACGCACTAAATAAGCAGCGCCACACTTCTCAAGCACACATGCTCCTCCCCATACACATACACACCCAAGAGATAAGGCGTGCACACCTCAGGACTCACACATATCAACAGAAAACAGACATCCACAGATACACATGCTCTTGTCCCCAACTCTCAGACCCCAGGACACATGTAAATCAGGCATACACAGACACATCTCATCGGATCCAGAAGCATCACCACACATGCTGGCAATGACACACAGACACAACAGTAGAACAGCAGACATCAACCCATCCTCCTCCCCCAACCTCAAAACACCATCACCAACTGTCAGCCCGGACACACACACACCAGCTAACTCTAATCCCACACAGCGCTGGCAGCACGCACACCTAACGCACCCACAGAAAACACTGGTCTCACGTGACTGACATAAACACTACACACACGCAGCCCACATGACACACATGAGCCAGCCGATTGCGGAGACAAGCCCCTCAGACCCAACACGCACACACACACACACACACACACACACACACACGAGAGGCTCAGACACAGCCCCATGCAAGAGGCTGCCAACAACACCCACTGACTGCACTGCACAGACCCCACAGAGACACGGTACTCAATTCCCAGACACCCATGCCAGACACACAAGCCAAACACAGACTGAGACAAGCCCCCGCCACACACACACACACACACACACACACACACACACACACACACCAGGCAGAACTCACACAGACACCAGGACAGAAAACAGACATCGGCATTCAGCAGGCACACCAACGCAAATGCTCAGCTGAGACACATGCCCTGGAGATATATACAGTCACAGTCAGTCCACACAGGCAAGACACACGAGCACACACAAACACGGCACATCCGGCAAGACACACGTATAAACACACAAACCCAGCTCACTCAAGCAACACACAAACACACAACCACCACACATTAGCGCACGCAGGCAACACAGACCCATAGAATCAGCCCCCAAACAGCACACACAGATAACTCTCACAGAGAACACACGCACAGGCACACCACACGTAAACAGAGCCCCCACCCCTCAGGTAGGGCAGACACGGACAGCAGTCCACACAAACACACACGGGGACTCACGTACACACCCCGACGGGCCACAGCCCCAACATTCCCCTGGACGGACACCACCACTCCCCGCGGACCCCAGTACAAACTCGGAGCCAGACACACGCACACACCCAGGCGAGACACCTGCAGATCCACAACCCCGCACACGCGCGCTCCCACGGCGGGGCCAGACGCCCCCCTGCGCTGTCACAGCCCCCCCACCCCGCCGCCGC